AGTCCTGATTTAATTCGATGACGTCACTGAGTTTGGTAGTACAACCCTGCCACGGCTAAAATAAATAAATAAATAAATGAAGTCGGTAAAACGTTAGAAGTATTTCTGTGGTTTTGAAATAAAGCTATCACCAAAGTTCTATTCATAGCCAAACGGGAAGATAATGGCTTCTTTAAATACGTTTTATGCAACGATGATAGTGCCACCTATCGGACAGTAAGAGACTTAAAGATATCAACTCTGTGTGAACGTTATCGTGGACGAGTAAAGCGTTTCGCTTTTTCTTTTTTAAACTTGTTTTTATTCTTATTTATTTTTCATCAAACATTTAGGTTTTTTTTAACTCCTTGAGACAAGCGATCCATTCACTGGTTAAGTGAATAAATAGCGACAAATAAATATAAAATGAACCGCGATGTCTGTCTTATTCCTTACAGGGATTTCGCTTGCCATGTCTGAAAATATGACCCAAACATTTACATAGGCTGCTCGCCTTACATGCAAAGTCACAATTTTACGCGGGAAAGTTTGCGGATACACTTAAACATACATAAACACGCGTAGAAACCCATGCATACACTTACATACTTATCTGCGTCACAAAGAGGGGTAATACCTTCAGAAGTTAGTCAGGTTAAAGCATTATTACTTAGTAGCGAATTCGATCATCATTGGTGATCCATAAAGAATTTCTACATTAACATGTTGACTGCCAGAGTTCAATGAGGAAATCTGATTTCAAATGCCAACATTATGAGTGAATGGTGAGTTCGATCCCCAATGAGTGCTCCATGTTTACGGACTTGTACCACATCTATACTACGCTTAGTAAATCGCTAAATGTTGTTGAAGACTATACTTTTTAGCATTTCTCTGGCCTTCAAGCTGAGCTCAAAATGTAGTAACTGTCTTTGGGTGGACAAACTAAGCAAGGCAGTAATGCCACGAGAACGCGTGGGGGTTACAGGCGGTGAAAGAGAATGATAAGACTGAGAATAGGGTTGCTTTATAGCTCCAATTGGCATTAAAAGCATCACTTGTTGGTGCCCGCAGTTGAAAATGTATCAGAAAACGCCAATCACGTGATAACTCGTAATCACCACGAGATAACTCGTCGTCGATGTCAGAATAAAAACTGCCAAAAATAAACCAGAGTGGACATGTCATAAAATCAATCTACCTACAGGTACACACATACAGACACATATACACACACACACACACACACACACACAGATACGCATAATAGCTGACCATTTGTATTGGAGGGCAACTAGCCAATCCCTATTGCAGACGATCGCTCAAGCACATTTGTGTTTGATCATCACTCACAACTATGCTGAACAGACCTTAGTTACAGTTTCTGGGAGAGAGAGTGTTATCTAGCGTGATCAACAAATTGAACAAGGCCAGCACGCTCAAGTCCTCGGTCACGATGACTTGTGGTTTCGTGCTAGCTCAGCTTCGTGCTAGTTACGTGTACCCAATTTCACTCACAAGGCTTGGGTTAACCCGTGGTGTGGTTTTCAGACACTTTCCACACGCTGGCATCGACCCCTCCATTCCGATAACATCAGGAAGCCGCCTTTCCGACAAATCGGCCATGGTGAGATTCGAACCCACGTCTCACGGTCAGAAAGCGAACGTTCAAACCACACGCCCATGATACACATACACAGATACAAATACGCACACACACATACAGATACAAATATTCATGCACGTATCGTCTCCCTGTATATTCTCATGGTACCCTCTCACAAATATACTATTGAATGTCGACACTTGCGTATCTCATTTAGTATTTCCATAATCCTGCCGTCTGAGGCTGCCAGCGTCTCGATTACAATTGCATCTGCCATTTCCTGCTTCGTCCTGAAATTCAAACCCTGATCTCATGGTCGGAACGCTAATGTTCTATGAGGTCCTGTTTGATTGATTCGTTTTCTACGGCTTATCAATATTTTTCAGTTTATTTAGAGGCAGAAAATATTTTTAGACGGTAAGAATTTTTTTTCTTTTTCTTTGGAGATGATGATTTCATGATACACGTCTTACTAATTAACCCATAGATGAAGTTCTCAACAATGGCAAGGAACTGTGCGGAATATAGAACATTGCACAAAGAAATTAAAAACGAATGCAAGCAGGCAAAAAAGGAATGCCTCAACGGAAACTGCGGAGACATAGAAAGAATGAACATCAGAAATACGTCAGGTATACATAAAAGTATAAAACATAGGACAGGACAGAAGACATTCTCATCGACAGGTTGCATAAAATAAAAAGGAATCGCTCATAATATGAAAAGGAAAATACTTCAAAGTTGAATACATAAGATTTGGTTTATTTGATTTGATTCTTTAACGGCATATCAACTCTTATGGGTCATTTAATTTATTCTGCTTTCACAACTGAATACATGGTAAATGATACTCAGCTTTTGTGCATATATATATATATATATATATATATATATATATAATTGTGTGGACTTGAC